ACATATATATATAAAGGGCTGGTGTCCGGAGCTACGCAATCCCAGGTCGTAAAACGTGGAGCTCCGCAAAATGATGCACTTCAATTCTTCAGATCGAGAAATATCTATGCTCAAGGGCATCTAGCATCTTTTATAGTCCAGGATGGATCAACCCAAAACCTATGCGGCTTCGCGATTGGCGGCTGGGCTGCTCGTCATATGAGGTAACGAACTCTTGATCTGTGCTTGTCGCTAAACGTGCGAGTGCTCTAGGAGTACTTCCCCAACGCTGCGATTGGAGAGATTTCAGTGACTCTCAGCCAGTCAAGCGACCCCCAACGAGGTTCGCTACCGAGAGCGGAGATGACTTCGAGAGCTACTACAAAAACGAGCGAGCGGAGGCAGGGAAGGATGACCAATGAGATTCAAATCCACCTAGGAAACGCTCTTAGTTGCACGGGAGCTAATGGGATTCTCAGTTCCGTGCTTATGGCTTATGCTATTTCGTTGTCTTTTCGATCACATTACATCTCTCACCATTAATTTGTTGGTCTCTTTGCTATTTGCACTTTGGCGGTGTAGGACACTGCACTGCTAGCAAAAGATCTCTAAATAATGGTGGTGTGGGAATTAGCCTCTATGAGGGAGGACGAGATTCAAAATGTTTCTCGATTCTTACCAGCCCAATGCAAGAAGAGCCTAGTCAGGCGACCCGATTTGTCTAAGTGGTCAGCGGGATTGGCTTACAGCCAACGACATGGATGTATTTGCCCATCTGCAAGAAGGAGAGAGCTGCATATCGACAGTCCAGTCAACTATCGAGCCAAAATCGTGATGGTTGCAGTGGTTATGCACGATACTTCCCTAATGGCATATAATTTCAGCATATGACCTGCTGGCTAGTAGCGGCAGCACTACACCAAATCTGCGCGTCTCGCAAGCTCACATCTCTCTGCTCGTGCTCTTGCATGGGTTAAGGTGAGCCAGGAAAGCCTCCGAACACAGATCTGGGGGAGAATGGGACGGCCAGCTCTAGAGCTAGCAATTATACCGATCACTTGTCTATCTCGATCTAACGCCGCAGTTCGCGACTCATGCGAAGCTGGTGGACTTGGCTGGAATTATATGCCGGTGTCAGACGCAGAGAGATAGAGAGAGGGACATTAGAGAGGGAAAAGAAATTCGGCACCAGCGCCTTATCGCTAAGGGTTTTTTTCCCGGGTTGGTTTTATTACTACTTGTTGGGTTCTGCAAGAGGGCGCTCGCTTGATGGCGTGAAAAAGCTCGGGACTCTTTTTTTGGGTTTTTTTGACAAAGGCAGACTAGGGGAAATCCAAGTCCATCTTAACAATTTATTATTACCTTTTTGCCCTCAGATGTACGGAGTACCAAGGAGGCCCTGGTTAACAGAAGACCGCCCTGTTCCACCGCGCTACCCTTGTACATAGACGCAACGCAACCTAGGAGATCGCCACGCATTCTTAACGACCACGGCTCATACTCCCTCGTTTGTACAACTTAACGGTTAGTCAACTTACTCAACCGAGACACGCTCGCTTTACTCCTAGGTTCTACTGTTCGTCTAAGACGCGCGCTTGCGTCGTACTCAATTTTTGCGCGCGTCTCTCTACCCTCTTGCGATACTCCCGCGCCCTCCCTTACCCTCCTGGGATCCCGGCGCCGTACACCACCCTCCCTGCTATCTGAAGTTTACCCAGCCCATCACTGCCACCTGATGGCCTAGAACTTCGGGCACGATAGGCGTCTATCGCAATTCATACACTACGCCGCCTCAGCATCTGCCTTACGACCAGTTGCCTCCTAAGTGTGATATATTCGACCATTTTTATTTTCAAATGACTTGCTCGCAGCTCTGCTGGCATATCCCTTGTCTTCTTTCCCCCTCCCCCCCATAAATCGTCTTTGCCCGTGTCAGACTTAGTCGCTCGCCATGGATACTACGTTTTCGGACGACGAGAAGGTAATATCGTCTGGCCACCATGATGTTACTTAACTAATAATTTCCGCATGTTATAGCGGTTCGTCTTGGGTGAAATAATTAAAGTCAGCACCATAGATGTCTCCACCCTTGTCGACTTCATCAAGGCTCACCAGGTCGAGCCGAACTGGATGTCGATGCAACTCCCCGGTGGTATGTATTCTGGGCCCGCCTCCATAAGACAGACCTCTCCCTAATAACAGCAGGCCGTAATATGAACCAGTGTTTTGGTGCAGTCGAGAATATGTTCCAAACTAAATATCCGCCACCGAACTTAACAAGCTTCAAGCGCAAGTCCCTAAGCGATCTGGTCGAACACCCCGCGAAGAGACAAGCGATGATGGCCCCTATCGAGCCTCATTTGGCTTCAGCACGCATCATTCAGCCGCGGCCCCCTCCAAATGGCTATCCGCCCGCCGTACCGGTCAGCATCAGTTCACCTGTAACCTCGACGGGCAAAAAGCGCGGCCGTCCTTCTAAGGCCGACAAGGAAGCTCAGGCTCGTGCAGTCTATTCGCGGCTGACAGAGTACGCGCCAATCACACCCGCCCCTCTGGCCCCAATCGCAGTTCAGCCCCAACGCGAATACGCATCTTCTCCTGGATATGAGATCTCAAGCAATCTGAACGATCAGAGGGCGAGGAAGCGAGGCTTCGGTGCAGTCGACAGTCCTCAGCAAGCGAATCTCCCCTTCCCATTAACATCGCCAGCTTCGACCACGGACACGCCCCGTGCTCTCCCGGAACCTATCGACCAAGTGGAGAGAGCTAACTTGTCGCCTCGGGACCGAGGGCCACTTGCGTTGGATTCACGATCACCACCACTCCTTCCACATATGCAACAACAGGACTCATCACAAGGACTGCCTCCCCTACAACCTCGAACTCAGCCCCCGCATCCGCCTCCTTTCCCGCCATCTCCACGAACTTCACACACGTATGAATCGCATCGGGGCATTGATCCCATATTCCCGAATAGAGACAGGTCGAGAAATATCCCAGAACCACTAAAAGACGCCCACCCCCCGGTAACCACGGTATCGAATCAGAGTTAAAGAAGAGTGTAGTATATTAGACGACCAATATGGTCATACGGTGTCACAATCCATTTCGGGTGGTTTGGGTTTATAGAGGAAGGTTTCTGGTTGGGAGGCATATTTGCTCCTTTTTTTTCTTCAAAGCTTCGAGGGATTAACAAATTTCCCTGTATGTTCTAGGCACTTCACGTCTTCGAGAAGGATCGGATACTGCTTCATGATATACCCATACGGCTTCTTGTTTCTGTTCTACTGCTGGACGGCGGCTATCTACATTATGTTTTCTCTCCTTCTCCACTTTTGGCGAGAGAACAGGTTTCGCCAACACCAACCCAGCTCGATACTTTATTCTAACGATACCTGGCCAGATGGACAACTGGGATTTGGTTGGCCTTTTTTTATAGCATTTACTGGCGCAGTTCCGTTGCCGGAGGTATAGGATTAAGAATTCTACTCCTGGCGGTTGGCAAATGCCGTTTTATTCGTGTACGATTCTCCGGGGCGTTCTTGGTTACGTAGGGGGGTATGGTGGAGGGTAGTGATGATACATACGGCATGTATGTGCGTATGGCTAAGTGTAGGTTTACGGGCAAATGCAAAAAGTAACGAAAACTACACCATCAAAAAGAATATTGAAGATACGACTCTTCGAAAAAAAATGTGGACTGTAGTTATACTCGTAGATATTCTCAGGACCTTCATAAGACAGTAGATTCTTGAGTCTATTCAGTTCATGTATTCCTGCCAATACCAGTTAATTCTTCCAGATGTGCATTCATATAAAACACCGTATGACTTCGACGTTCATATATCTGACATGATCCAGCATCGTGCAATGTAACTTTGAAGTCTTCCATTATTAAGACATTACACTAACAGCTTTCTAGACAGCCTTGGCCTGGCATATTGCAGCACGGGTAATGCTACACGGGCGATGAGGGCTGGTTTCACAAGTCCTATATAGCATGTAGTATGTCGGAATAGGCAACCAGCCAATAGGATAATATCAAACGTCAACCTGCAAGACATAACCCGGACGCCGTGATAGGTCAGAAATTAGCAGCCGCTTGTATTGGATAAGAGCTACGGGGATTAATATACGTCTGGCGGAGCTTGGCTCTGGGGTGTAGAGTAATTTATATTTATTTTTTTGGCGCCACTGGTTATTTGACAAGGGCTTTACAACTATTGCTGTGGGATGGGATTATTAAGAAGCACTTGGTGTTATTGCTTGGTACTATAAATCTTGGAGGATACGAGATGGTTAGTTGCCGTGACCATGGGCTTTCAGGGTCGCTCGTGTATGAAGATATGTATAGCTAATGCGAAGTGCTGCATAGCGATGTTTAATTAGCCATGTCTGTCTAGGGTAGAGGGAGACGTATTGCATCATTCGTAGAGTATGTCCTAGAATATGAACGGATAATCACCTATAGATCTTAAAGTTTAGACTAAATATATTACAAGATATATTCAAGATATACTCCAAGTTGTGCTAATTAGAATAAGCACCTGGATGGTATAAGCAGAGCGTAGGTGCCTGGGTAGGTAAACCGTATTATATCCTTCATACCAATTGTTCGATAAGAATAAATTATGTAAGTGGTATGCTGTTAACTCCTAGTAGCGGACTGAGAGCTATTCTTAAAATTATCATTTCGCAAAGGACCTAACCAAGGTCTCACCTATATATCGTCCAATACTACTACCAAGCAGGAGACCAACGGTCACATACAAGCTCAATACATCAACAGTGCAATAGTTAGAACAGAGGTGCTTAATATATATAATACTATCTATAGAAACTAGTAAACTCTTCCTTGATATTTCTAAGAATACTTAGGCTGGTCAAGTTTCCAAACCGGTTACTATGCCGAGCCGCGAGCGAACGCTTAAACCCAAGACATTGCGGTGACATCTAAACGAATAATATCCCGAAACACGTACGGTAACCGGTGTTATATTATACTGGGATACTCTTCAATATTATACTTAATTGTAATCTTATTCAAAGTCGAATTCATATAGCTCTAGGGATTAAATGCGTAAGACCTTATATCTAAGAGTCATATCTTCGTCTATAAATACTTCATCGAGGGAAATTCACAGGGGTATTATATATGCAATTTGCACATCAATCATCGTCCGAAGACTCATCATCCCGAGCCCTCGAGCGCTTCTTACTACTTCCCGGACGCGGCCGAGCTTCGTCGTCTTTCCGAACGAATATATAGCTTCTCGCAGCCCTATCCTCACCCTTCCAACCGCCGCCCGCTTCTCCGCTTTTGCTCTTCACCACGCCGAGCGTCCTCGCGTGGTGATAGCCCGGATATGCGCTTGCTTGGAACTTGAAGCTGCGCTCAACTTGGAGACCAGTGTGCCTAGCGAGGTCTCGAATGTTCCACAGCGTGTACGGCTCGCCCTCGAATAACGTAACGACGATCGAGCCCCCGGGTGCTAGGGACGGCATCGCGTGCTTGAAGAATTCTACTAGCAGCTCCTGGTTATACCGGACTTGTCGGTTGACATCGGTGCTCTTCCCGCCGACATGCGGGAAGTTGAAGATAATCCGGTCCATGACTCCCGTGCCGTCCTTTCCTTTCTTGTCTACGAACGGCGCCATCTTGGTGGCGTCCACGCCGTAGAGCACCTTGCTATCTTCGGCCTCGACCTTGGCGATGTTCTCCGGCACGTGGGGATACTTTTCTACCAGCTCCTCAAGATTCTTCTCAAGGACCGTGGCGGTCACGTCGGCACAGTAGTGGTGCTCAACCAGGGAGGCCGCGAAGCTAAGGTCGCCATCGCCGACTAATAGGATTTTGTCTTCGGGTGCGAAGGGTATCGTGGGCTCGTCGTGTTGCGGCTGTGGTTGCTTCTGCTTCTGCTTTTGAGGTTGAGGTTTTGTTACCCCCTGCGGCTTTTGACCGCTAGCATTGGACTTCTGCGCCGGTCGAGCATTATGCGTGACTTTCCGCCGCTTCCCCATGTTCTCCTGCTGTAAGCTGCTAGTAGCGCATAGTGTCGCGTATTACGGACAACAGACACGGACCTGCCGCAATGGTTGTATGCAACGTGCCGAGGCCGAGGATTAAACGGGCTTCGTCGTGTATTGGAATGGGGGACGCCGGGTGGAAGAGGTAAGGCAAGGTAAGGTAAGGTGAGGTTGAGGTTGAGGTGAGGTGATGTCGGTAGTGGTGTAGCTCCGAGGAAGGGAAGAAAAATTAGTGGCTCGCAAACCGCATCCCACTTTCTGCGGCTAGGTTGCGGGACGAAGCATGGAACCAGCTAGTCTTAATATAGTAATTCCGGGGATTTAAGGTGGATGGGGGTTATTTTTGGCCAATGAGACGTCATATTATTGGCATATCTAGGTACATAAGGTACGTCACTACGGCTACACGTACATATGTACCTAATTCTACCTAATCCAGGTAGCTGCAGATTTGGCCATTCCCGTCTTACACCAAGACGTATATGTTTGGATAACAAGAATGATGATAGTGCCTTACATCAGATACAATATATGGCTATAATGGAAAACTAACTGATTAGACTACACAGGTAATATGATGACTCAGATATTACACCCACGATAAATGTATATCAATGTATTAGGTACACTATTAATGTAGCTAAGGTGAGTATGTTGTGTGATGCCATGAAGCTGATAGTTTAGTAAACGGTCCTGAGAGTATTTAAGTTAGCTGTGCGCTATGTGCTATGTGCTATGTGCTATGTGTACCATGTGTATATATGAAAGATCAGCACGCCTGTCTTTAGATTAAAGATAGTTAGGAGCATCATAGCGAACGGGGTCTGAGAGTCCTCCGATCTAAGTTGTTGGGGTATGAACCCAGTATCTTACTTTACGTTTATACAGAGGTCGTCCTGACTTGTAGATACACAAGAAAATAAACTAGTTAACTAGCTAAAGCCTGTAAAACCTTCTACCATATTACTGATTCAAAGAGGGCTATGGTAACTTAATGACTACGCGTATAAACCCTCATCTAGTCTCTAGAAACCGTCAGATAATTCCTGATGTAGCTCAAAGAATTTCCTAGCTTAGTCACTATAGCAATATTCCCATAGATCAATCGTATACACGTATATTTCTGTGCTGGCTGGCGGTGAAGAAGACAGGGTACGGTTGGTGAATATAAGTGGCAGATAAAACGAGCTGGCATTTTAGGAGTACCCAGGTACCTACGGATAACCGGCTAGCGATTCGCCGCATCGCTCTTATATTAACCTAAAGCCACTATACTTCGAAATAAGTCTGGTTAAACATAATCATCTGTAAATGCCATGAAAAATAAATATGCTCAACAAGTAAAAGACCGATAGAAGTGGCTGGTTTTGTAGATTTGTAGGTACCTAACTCAACTGAGCCGGAAACGGAAGCGGGTCAGGGGTTTCTCCGGACCAATAAGAAATGATTTAGCTCGCCGCAGAGGGCCAAGCGCAATAGACAGCGCAGGGACTTGACTGCATCGGGAAGTCCAAGGGTGTCTTGCTGTTTAATTGTGCTGGGAGAAAATCTCATGGTGATATGAAAGTGAGCTTTTCGGATTTGTTCCTATTGCCACGACCTCATCACCTTGGAGAATAACTCGGATACCGGATGGGCTGGTTCAACGAATCCTATTCTCAATTCTTTAACTCTACTTCTTTTTTTTCCCTACTACCCGCAACTTAGTTAATTGTTTTGGTCAATGCTGCTGCTGCTGCTACAAGACTAAACCTTTCTGCCTTCTTTTTTTCTACCATCAACACGACACATTTCACTGACACGCAAAACATATTACAACATTACCTACTTTCTCAAGCCAAAAAATTCATTCACCTGCAGCCTCTACAACTGTACATCAGAACACAGGAAACAGGTTTTTTCTCTTGCCTTCACTCTCTTTTTATTCTTCATTTCTATCCACGAAGCAGCCTGCTTTTACTTCTAAATTTCCGTGTAATTCAACCCCTAACGAATTTCACGCATCCTTCAACTCTTACACGTCTCACACCCTTCTAATCCACAATCTACCTAATCCAACCGTCACCATACGCTTTCTACAATTTCTACACTTTCTATCACAATGGGTAGCACTCCCAAAATCACCCCGTCCGTAGCGGCGAGCCCTGCAAAGGGTAAAGCTGCTGCCCTTGCCGCCACCACTACCACCACTACCACCAAGAAACCTCCCGCAAATGGTGTTACCAAGCGACTCGGACGCAAGTCCGCCGCCAAGAAAGGCGCTGGTCGTGGTAAGGGACGAGGCCAGAAGAAAGTTTACAGTGATCCACGCGTCCAAGCTGCTTATGAACGCCAGAGGGAACTAAGAGACCTTTACTCACAAGTTGCCTTAGCTGTCAAGCCGGCTCTTGAGGAGATTGCCGATCAGACCCTCAAGAAGCTGACGGAATCCATGGATGGCCACAAGGGAGTGGCAGAGTACTACACCGTTCAAGAACAGCTAGACAAACAACTCCAGCATGTTATTGAGACTGCTGACCGAGAACGACACACAAGAGACATGATTTCGCAGCGCTCATACGAGCTTGATTGCATATATACCCAGAAGAAATTCGTGGTATGTACTAACCCTCTTCAATATGCACATCTCAACCTCAATCTCGCTCCCTTATCAATCTTATCTTACTTACAATCGTATTAGGACTCATTCGAGTACCAAACCGAAGAACTTTACGACGGCGCTGAGAACCGCGCCAGCATTCTAGCAGAGCTCCACCGTGAAGGTCAAGCTATCGATGTAAGTAAATTTGTCATTCTCTCTTCGCCCCCATCTCTGTTCCAATCCTAACTGAATTAACAAGCCCACCCAGACGCTTGACCTGACTTATCATTACGTTGACCATATACCTTACGTCTCATTTACCGGTCAATCGGATGATATTGTCACTTCAGGCAAAGGCCGTAAAGGAAAGGCCGTTGGTAAGCGGAAAGCGGATGATCAACTTGATGGGCAAGCCGATTCCAAGAAGCCTCGACATACCGGTGGCCTGCTTGCCTCAGAGCAACAGCCCGATGGTGTACCAGAATCTAATGTCGCGACACCGACGCCACCTGATGAGCAGGAATTTGTTGTTTCCGGCAAAAACTTCCCGGACCTTCCCGCCGGCGCAGGCGATCCTGACGAGTATGGCGTTCGCAGCGTCAATAAGCGGGCAAAGAGCCCACGCAATAGGTTTATTGTCCCGCCCTTATTCCAATTCGACGACAAGGAAATAGGATTCCGAGATTCCACCAACGACTCAACCCGCAAGGCCACCCGCGCGGTTAGAGGCATGTTCCTCGACACGCCCAACTCCAATACCTGGCATTGGGACCACACAGTCAAGGACTACGACGCCCGAGACTATAAGGATGATACCCTAGACCCAGAGGTTATAAAGAAGCACGGATTACATCCGAAGTATGGCATGTTCCTCCCCAACTCTACTAACGAGTCGGAATATGGCCATGAGCGTGTCGACGGGACCCGACCTGTTGTTGTCGTACCCGACAAGAATACTACCATTCATGCATCCCGATCGACTCGACCTATGAAGATGGACATGATGCTGAAGGAGGATAGAATCAAGTGTGCTGTGGCAGGAATGCTTCAGAGCTTTTGCCAAGAGGAAGACGTCGACCCCGAAGAAATTGTCACCGATGAAATGCGAGATCGCGAGCGCAGAGTTCGTGAGAGACTGACCATGTCCTCCGATGACACCTCTTCTTTGGAGGCAGCAACCCATGCCCAGTCAGCAGAAACTGATGGCTCTATCTACAGAGACAATATGTCTCTTCTTCTCCAGGCTGCCGAGATCTCGGACGCTGACAAGCCTACTCAACCGTCTCCTACTACACGGCCATCTCGCCCTTATGATGCGGTGAGAGACGTTTTTACGAGCGCAGAGCCGGCTCCTAGCCGCCCAGAACGCCATTCGGAAGCGGGTGTCAATGTACTTTCTATCTTTGCGGACGCTGCCTTGGAGCTGTCCCAATACCAACAGCTACAGCAGCAGCAGCAGCTACAGCAGCAGCAGCAACAGCAACAAGCAGACATTGCGCTCATGAGCGATTCTTCTATGATCGACCCTCGTCTTCTCGGTCCACCTACTCAGCCCCCGGCTCTCCCCAATGCATTCTTACAAACCGCGTTGAACCCTGCCTCGGCTTTCACACATATCGCACCAGCTCCTACCGCAATGATGGAAGTACCGCAGCAACCTGCGCCCCCTAGGATCCCATTCTCGAGCCAGAGCAGCGTGAAGGAGAGTCCGATTCTACCTCCCCTGCGGCCTAACAGAGCGGATGGTCTAGGAAAGAGTTTGAACATAGCACAACTTCCTTTAACTCAATCTACTCACAGACAGCAGGAGTTTGATTCTCCCCGTGGACTAGTTCGCTCGAATTCGGGGACTTTCTTTGCACCTGCACCGTCACGACCCTTTCACCAGGGTCTTACTTTTCATCACGAGTCAACTCTGATGCCCATGTCTGTTCAGCAAGGCCCGCCTATGTCCGGCTCTGGCATGTTGCTAAACCAACCTCACATACCTCCTCACATGTCTGCTTATCCTCTTGAAATGTCCCCTCCCGTACAGAGCCAGCCGTACTTGGCCCCTCTATCCACACAGATGGAAGTTCCCGCGCCTTCGACATCACCGACTGGCCCACCATTGACATCTCCTTCGTCGCCCGCCCATACACCCCGCAGTAGGGGATCTACATCATCGAACGGCAACAACGCTGGAAAATACCGCAAGATTGCTGCTGCACCTATTCCCCACAACCGCCCTTGGCCTTCCAACGGTGGCACCGAATTGAGACTCGCGCATTATGATCACAAGGAAGCGATCAAAGACTACCGAGCCAACGAGCCGCCCCCGCGAACCGGACCTACAACTATTAGAGGATGGAACGTAAACAACGTTTCCAAGAGTCGAAACAAGAATGTGAAGAAGGAGGACTCCGAGGAGAAGGAATCTCCAAAGTAGGTCTCAACAGAAGACAACTACCCTAAGACTATCGTGTTGACCATTGCCGTTTCACAGCATGATACAACCATACATCAGCAAATGGAACGCCTCCGAGCGAAACTAAAGTCCCGAATTCTCGGTCTATACCATATATACCGACCGAACTGATTCACGAATCGATTCCTACAAAGCTAGGAAATGAAAAATCCGCATGATAGAACATCGGACACGAGAAAATAATTGAATACTTCATTGATTACTACACGATATCATTTTACGACTACTACCGCCCCGTGGATACCAACACTCTTACTTTTCTCTCGCACATTCGGCGTTGAGCCTCGTTTTTGCCATTACTACTACAAACTTGTATTTTCTCGTCATCGTGTCACGACACACTTGGTACCCACAGCATGGCGCCGGGCAGGCAGGCTGCATTGGACAGGGGATTCGCATATCGGGGTCTTCCCTACGCTAGGCGCGCCCCAAAAAATTCATCATCGTCATCATCATCATTGCATAAAAATTCGGAGTTTAGGGATAAGGGATTTTTTTCAACGTCTTGTCTTTTTGGTTTTTGGTTTTTTTTTCTCTCTATTTGAGCAAGCATCTTGTGTATCTGGCACGAGCCGCGATAGAGGACAGGACAGGACAGGACAGGAGAGGGTTTGCATTATAATCAGTTGGTCGTTGGTATGATTTCCCCCTTGGAGAAGGGAGGACAGCGGATGGAATATAGAGAGGGAGGGAGGGCGCGCGGGAGGGAGGTGGGAGCGCCGAAAATAGAGCCACGGGTTGTGGCCGGTCGTGTCTAAGCGTAGCGACCTTGTATAGAGGGAATCAATGAATGTTGTTTGCACATACACCTAAGACCTCTTGGTGTCTTCCTTGGTAGCGTGGCTTGTCTTGGTGATTCTCGTAGATGAATGGCAATGATACTTGTCTGTGGACTTTACGGATGTCTGTTCTTTACGTAAACTAAGCAATAGTATACCAGCGAAGACATGGGTGAAAATACCTATAACTACCCCTTTTTTAACAACTAGACTATAATTATGCGGTATAAATCCCAACCAGAATAAAGAGTAGTTTTCGCCTATTATTTCCCATGCTTGGCGTAAGCGTCACTTTGCCAGCCTTTCTTTCATCGCGTATGTGCACAAATCTATTTTCTTTGAAAGTAGTCTTATAAGTCATAACATCGCATATTAGCACATTTCCATATTAAGCTTTAGTAAAGCCGTAGGCTCGAGTATCCTCAACTTACTATAGGTGAGATTGGTATATACCTATATAAGAGATATATATACCCGAGTACTAACATTCACAGTATTTTGGCTTCGATATTTAAAAGACACCGACTTGTAGATTAATAAAGTATCCGGCTACCTTAGGTACCTATCCTATCATACAGCGCAGCACCACCTGCATTCCATGTTTCTTTCTTTTCATCTCTCTTTCTCTTTCTCTTTCTTTCCACTACCTTCCTAGTCTCTTACTACCTCCTAACCTACCTAGCCAGGTAGTTTTCTTTTGCCACCAAACCGAAGAAAGAAAGAATCTCTGAGCGATGATCGAACATATCCACCCCTCTTCTTCCTTTTTGGAACTCTCGCAAAGAAAAAGAAAAATCTCTTATCCGAAATCCGCCTGCTAATCCCTGGAAATATGGAAATAACCGATCAGGAATATCACTGGAATCTGAGTAATCTGGAATCTGCTATGCCAACTCTGAAAAACGCCCGAGACTCGGCTCCCACCGTGTCCAAACGCAAGGAAACCTTGCCTGTCCTGCATAAACTACCTGCGCATACCACCTCTCCCATCACACACCAGAAACAGGCGCCATCATCATAGCAGCCTGGTCCATAGGCAGCATCTGCGAGGCGTCAACCCCACCAAGCGGCATCATGCCCGGTGCCGTCGACAGCTCCAACTGCGCCCTACCAAGCTTCCCCTCCGGGTGCAGCGGATACATCTCGGCCTCCATCTTATCGCCGTCGAAGACGACCATATTCTGAATGGGCTGCTGGCGCTGGCCGCGAACGTTGATGACGTCCTGCGCGAGCTGACCACCGAGGATCGCGGTAACCGGCGCAATTTCGCTTCCCACGTTCTGCAGGAAGCTGCGTAGGAATTCGGAGCGCAGAGTCTCGGCGGGGAGAGACAGCAATTGGTGGTTGTGCGTGGCGGAGCGGGTGAACGCTTCGAGGTCCTGCTTGTTGTGTTCGGGGAACCGGTCGTTGTGCGTTTGTTGGAAGGCCCAGAGAGCACGTAGACATGAGAGAGCAGGGGAGACGGCTTTGAGACGGCGCCTGGATTTGAGGTACTCAGGGGGCAGAAGACTTGTTTCGGAAGCGAGGTCCCAGGTAGAGTATAGTTCGCGCTTCTGTACTTTCTCAATGGTCTTACCGCCTTCCTTCTCACTCTCCACCTTAATTATGCTGCGAGTCCGGGTCTCTGGGCCTACGGCTGTTGGTACATTGGGCTTGTCTCGCTGCAAAACGTAATCGTGCTCGATCAGGTCACAGAATATGTAACCATAAAAGCCGTAGGTGCCGGCCGCGTAGAACTGGCGGTTATGAAGGCGAGTAGCGGTGTTGATGAATGCGAAGACGGTGGGACTAAGGTCCGTGGCGATGACGATATCGAAGTTGCCGAAAAACGACGCGCCTTTGGTCATTATGCTTCCGGAGTCAGCAATGACCTTGACTCTAGGATTCAGCTTTTGAATCCTACCAACAGCCGCTTCAGCACGGCTTTGGCCAATATTCTCCTCGGTGAGAAAGAATTGTGCCCCCAGATCGGCTTCCGTGACTATTTGGTCATCGACAACGGTCAAGGAACCAATGCCAGCTAACACTAGGTTCTTGGCAATCTCATTCGCGAGAGCCTTCATAGTGATCAGAACAACGTTGGTGTTCTGTATCTTTTGTTGCGCCTCCATGCCCCATAACCGCAGCTGGCGGTCATATAGGGCGATGTCATCTGATAGCTGTATTAGATGAGAACCTAAGTAATAAAGTGAAGTGTTATCTTACCTGCACTTAAGACATTTCCATTGGTTGGCTGAGGTATGATGGGGTTGTTGAAATTAGGTACAATATGTGATTGAGTCGGAGGAGGTATTATCATGCCTGGATTAGTAAAGTTGCCGTTGTTGAAGACTGTTTGCTGGAGGGTGGCAAAGGTATCATCTGCATTAGAAAATACCGGGACGCCATTTCCTGGAACCGAGTTCTCGGGTGGTAGAGATATACCGGAGGTTGGTAACGGTAGTGGATCTTGTCCGGATATCCTGCCATCCTGAACTGGCTGGTTCGGCTCCGGAATAGGAGCTTTACTCGGGATTGTTTGCTGATTCGCGGGAGCTGTTTGGTCTTGAGTCTCCATTTTTTGACGAGTCGTAAATGCCAGGTTGTAAAGATGTATGAGAAGTATGAAATTTAATTACGGGATGGGATAGGGAGGGTTGTCTTGATAAGAGCTAACGTTATAAAATGTTGTTGGTTCGTCAAGTCTGGCAACTGAGATGAACGGCTCAAAGTGAGATGCGTGAAGACATGCGTGAAGATGAGACGAGAGCAAATGCGCGGCGCGACTTGCTTGTACTTAGATGCTGACTAACAAGCCTCTCTTTCCTATTCCATAAATATTGGGAATATGTAAGAAGGAGTTACGGGGGCTTGTCGATATGGTGGACTGGTCCTCAGTTTCGGTACTGAATGTTGGATTCGTTCGTTTGTTAATGATGTGATGAATATAATAATGTATGTAAATCACATATGTACCTTTATTAAGGCAAGATGCGATGAGCTAGCCTCGCCTTCTTTTAGGTCACCCTTTTAGGTAACACTACAGGTGTAACTTGCATTAGGTAAATCAATGTGGATAAGCCAGGATAAGAGAATAAGTCTCGTTATTTGGAGAGCTAAGACTGAATTGAAGATCATAACAACCTGCTATAAGCATAGTACATAGTACATGGATGTATGAAGTCACAGCATGAAGTCACAGAAGCAGCCAATTGATACATGTATGATTCTTTATGTACTAGGTTAGGTAGGTAATACAACATGTTATAAGTACCTAATATATAGGTGCACCAGGCTCAATAATATCTAACTCGTGGCTTACAAGGAGGCTTACAAGAAAGGAGAAGGTAACAGGCAGATGGCATTAGAAGTTGATTTTCTTACTCAATCATGATTGGTATCGCTGCCTGAAAGAAATTGAATGGCTACACAAAGAGTGCAACAAGGTCCGAATAAAGCTGAGGTACAAAACAAAAGGTAGATATGTGTACCTAGATAACCCTGCTGTCTACATGCATGTGTTTACGGAACCTTATGTATGTGTAGGTACCTTCCACTAAGATACATAAGATTAAAGTAATTGGGCGGAAGGGGGGGTTGCGTGAGCATGACTACCTCCTACCTGTGCATGTTTAAGAGGTACCCTAATTATCGGGTAATCATTATGTAGCGTCATTGTACATTTTATCAATTTCGCCCATTAGATCACTACATATATACAACTTTATAAGTAAAAAACCCCGCCTAAAACCCAACCAACCGGCCTACCTGCTCCATCTCACCAATGCCCTTTCACACAACATCCCACGCCTGCATGTCCATTCCTTATTCCCAAGGGATTTCCCATTTCAACTTCCAACTACACTCCATTGATTACTCCCATTCATCTCTCTCCCTGTCTGCCAACCTGTCGAACCCATCAACTTGATCATCTTAACATATACCAGTCGAAACCCCTGATAATACCAATTCATCATTATATCACCACTTGACTGTTCTTGGCTTAATCAGGTACACATCAGCTGCGGTCTGATCCGCTGACGCACATCTTGACGAATACTTACAGGTCCCTAGTCTCTTAATGGTAAGTCCCAGCTTCACCCAGCATATACTGCCATGTATTACCACGTTTCCTCCGGGGTCGGCTTCCACCTTTGGTCTGCACCGAAATATCAACTTGCGTCCCCGCCCATATATGCTTCTGGGTGCTCTACTATTATTATACTAATTATATCGTCACCCAATAGTCGGACGATCCTTCCGAACAGCCTCCGCCAAATCCAGGACCTTTTCGCACTGCCGACGAGATAGTACGTTCCATACTCGATGGTGATGCTTCGCCTTCTGATATCAGCCCTTCTGGAGAGTTATATCGGGCTATAGAGAGGTATTACCCTTATTCCCGGCCGCCTAATCGCCCACGACCAGACCTCGTCCGGAACCATTTAACCCGTTTGGGTCAGCGCTCGTCGTCGCGGAACAGTATGCCGTTCGAGCTCAGCTCGGAAGCGCAACGAAGATTCTCGAGAGAGCCGCAAAGTTCTGACGCATCACCACGCTATAACTTACTCTCCTCTGCTCCTTACCTGCCGCCGCTGCGATCTCTAACAAGTACCCGACGACCTTCGGCAATGCCTTCATCCGGTCTATCAGGTTCACGAGCACGCGCGGCAGACCGCATGTACGCGGCAAGGATGCGGACTGCGCAGAGGAATCGGAGCGAGACCAATGACGAAGCGGGCGAGTTCTGGGAGCGACTAGAACCCTTTGACAGAGGTTCGCGTGGTACCCGACGCTCCGCCACGGGCCAGATAGCCGATTCGCAATCTTCCTTAGACGAGGAACGTTTACGGGAAGACACCAATTCTGAACTACGGGCGCTTTTGGATTTTACTCATCCTCCCGGCCACCCTTTGTCAGACCTTACATTTTCAACGTTACCGCCGCCGCCGCCGCCGCCACAGGATCCAGTAGAGGATAATCGACGAGTCAAGAGGCGTAAACTAGACTCTGACCGTCTGTCTAGCAGTTTTCAAGGTTTTCGATATGGGAAATATGGACAAGTGGAACCGGGTCAGCTGACCATGGAGTTGATGAGCTGCGATGGAGGCATCTTTTCTGACGATGGCCAGAGATATGCAGCTGAGAATATTCTAAAAAATGACCAAACCGTCTACTGCACCGAAGGACCGAGATGCAATATCATACTGAGACATCAAGGGGCCACCGTCTTTACTCTAAAGGAGTTAATTATAAAAGCTCCTAGGTCTAATTTTACCTCCCCGTGAGTAATATTCTCCCCTGTCTACACTCTTACTAATTGATTTCATAGTGTGCAGGAAGGCATGGTCTTCGTTTCGATGACGGGTGACCATCTCCTGACACGGACGGCCCAGTACCAAATTCAGTACTCGGCTTCTAGAAATTCACCTAGGCGCGGGGAGCGGGATAGCCAATCCCTGACACCTATTTTGTCCGTTAGGCACAATGAAGATGGAAGCACCATGACGCACGCGCAGATTAGAGCGAGGCGGCTATATAATATCGGCATGGACGATGAAGACAACAACGTCCGAGTTGCTCAGATTCCCTCTGAATTTAATGTAGCACCACCCCCGTTTAGGGTCACTACGGAATGTAGCGACGACGAGACGGATGACCCGACTCCGAGGGGAGATTTGGGGCCGCCCAATAGGATTGGGTCCTTGCCATTCGAGAGTGAAACAAGCGATGATGAGGGCAATACGAATGATTATTCGTTCAGCGAAGCATATCAAAGATTCCGGCGGCATCGTAATCGACCGAGTACTGCGCTGGAAGAGGCGGTGGAAGCTGCACAGGTGGCTACGCAGGAGGCTGTCCGTGCCGTGGGCGGGGAGATGATGGTTCCTTACGCGCGGTTCTTTATTGAGAGGAACAAAAGCAAATGTACTATTAAGTTTGATCCTCCGGTTTCTGGACGGTATATATTGTTGAAGATGTGGAGCCCGCATCGGGATCCGAGCGAAAATATCGACATACAGGCAGTCATCGCCAAAGGGTTTGCAGGACCGAGATATTTCCCATCGGTGGAGTTAAGGTGACGGGGACGAATTTAGGGGCGTTAATGGCGGCATTCCTAGAGGAGGAATAGTCCATTATAGAAACAGATTTAGTTATGAAATAGCTTCACTGGCTCCCGCTGAAATGCGCGTGTATGGAATTGACTTCATACCCAATATGATCATTGATGCTACTTGTTGTTTTAGTTGTGATCTTTCATGTTAGTTGCTTGATAGTGCTCTTATAGGCCTAAGATTCTGAAATTCCTATAGGTTTATACAGGCACCTCATTGCGCTAATAGGCTTACTTGAGACTTGTTACCCAATGCGAGATAAAACGTAGAATAAAGCAGAGGTAATTGAGTTGAGTTCAGGATGAATCATCGTGGCTAAGCATGCACCATAAATGTATTTGGCACTTTAGATTAGGTACAGTTAAGCTTGTGGGAGAAGTACTTGGTACAACTACCCTTGCTTAGAGTCATCCAGATTGAGTCACACCCGGGAAACTTGACTACAGGCTCTTAGTTCCAGAGCCTCTTGGTACAAAATAAGAAGTATTAGTATTACTTGTACCTATAGCCCCACATGAATATTTTAGATTAAAATACGCAGCATTATCCCATGCCTTAGTGCCTCTACTTACATATTCTTACATAGCAGAACAACCGATTTCTTCTTCTTTCAGCATCTACTTTACTTTACCTCTTCAAAAACTCGAATACCCTCCCGTTCAAAATTACGGCCGATACAGTGTCTAGCAATACAACTTGGTAGCGGACAAATCATGGCTGTGCGCGCACAATTCGAGAACTCCAACGAGTAAGCCCCGCCATTCTAGTTTTAGGGACCCCGCGAAAGCAAATTTGTGTGGTAGACGATAAGTGCTAATGATGCGATTCTACAATCTAGGGTCGGCGTCTTCGCGACACTCACCAATTCTTACGCTCTGACCGCCGTCGGCGCGAGCGAAAACTTTTACAGCGTCTTCGAGGCTGAACTGCAAGATGTCATTCCCATCTGCCGAACTACAATCGCCGGCACGCGCATCATCGGCCGGTTAACAGCGGGGTAAGAAATAACTGCGTTTTCTGATGCGATGGCCTGAAGCTATTGTATGTGTTTATATGCTGGTGTGAGGCTAATTACTTTCTTGTCCTTAGAAACCGGAAGGGTCTTCTCGTACCCACTTCTACTACCGATCAAGAACTGCAACATCTGCGCAATTCCTTACCTGACGAGATCAAGATCCAAAGAATAGAGGAACGTCTATCCGCCTTAGGCAATGTTATCGTCTCAAACGATCACATAGCTCTAGTCCATCCGGATCTGGAGCGCGAGACGGAGGAGATTATTTCAGATGTTCTAGGTGTCGAGGTTTTCCGGCAGACTGTTGCGGACAACGTGCTTGTCGGAAGCTATATGAGCTTGAGTAATCAGGGCGGATTAGTGCACCCCAAGACCAGCATCCAAGACCAGGACGAGCTGAGCAGTCTTCTGCAAGTACCGCTCGTTGCGGGCAGTGTGAACCGAGGCAGCAATGTGGTTGGCGCTGGTATGGTGGTCAACGACTGGTTGGCGGTGACGGGGTTGGATACGACGGCGACGGAGCTTAGTGTCATCGAGAGTGTCTTCAGACTAGGCGAGGGCGCTGCGCCGGGCAATGTCGGTGGCAAACTGAAGGACACCATGGTGGAGAGTTTCTACTGAAGAACCAATTTTGTGGTTGGTCAGGACCTGGCTTCAAATTGGTATTGGGGTTCGTGAAATCCCGAGCCTACCTTGATGAATGCGAGTTTCCTCGGATGGAAACGGCTTGCCGTCTTATTGCGGATGAATATACCAGCCGCCCAACTAGTATAACGGACAGCTGAATATCAGCTTTATGGTTGTTATGCCGGGACAAGGGCATGGCAATTAGTTATTCAATGAAGCATTCCGACTACCTGTAGCTGAGGAGTATTCCAAGATATACATGGTTGGTGTTAACGTCAGTGGAACTCTGCATCATGTGAAATGTGGGAAGCGAGTTAAAACATTAAGACAGTATACATCGAGGTGACCTATTAACTAAAACATTGATTCTTTTTAGTGTCGGCTGGATACGTATTGGTGAAACTGGTCTTAACGTACTATGATGTCTACAAGGAGCCTCCGGCCAGAGTAGTGAGGTTACTAAAACAATAGCAATAGCAAGACTTATGTGCTACAGTCGTCTGTATTTGTTGAAGTTTACGGGTGTACTACTAAAGTCAATGGCTAACTATTCTATATGCTCTTTCAACTAATGGTGCCGTGTTCGATTGTTAGAACTTAAGTCTACTCTGCTTTAGTGAAGCATTGGTCTCTACACGAAAGAGTCTCCTCGTATTTGAAATCATACATTAGGTATCTAATATCCACCCGGCTAGATATGTACCTACATATCTACGGATTATCCAAATACCTAACCGAAACGGAGCGGTATGCGGTTAGATGTGCCACGTGCGTCGACTGTGCGTCGACTTGGTGCGATGGTAACCACTTAACTTCGAAGTTGGAAGCATCGTATCCACATATCGAAATCTTTAACATACCTACATACATATGTAGTAGTATGTATTAAGATCGTAAGAAAAGGTAGAAATCCATAAATATCTGACAGAGAGCCAGAAACACAAGATCGGTGGGAAATTGAACAGGCTCGGTACAGACGCAGAGACGTTACGCGAGCTATGTATTAAGCTAGTATGTATTACACTACATGTGTTGATGAATGATGAGCGGTACAGCGTTCCAGTTGGATGAATATCAGTGGCTATGTTCCTGTTCGAGGGTCTAGAGCTGGAAACAACTATGTACGAAAGTCTTGTTGAAGAGTTCAGTTAATGCGAGTCTGCTGGATATTTTACCTATCACAAGCCAGAGATTCGAGGATACAAGACCCACGCTCACATGCTGGTCGATGGCTGGTAATGGAGCTATGTATGTATGTATGTAGTGTATGTATGTACATAGTATGCTCATCCTAAACCACCTTTTACAAAACTGTCTCTCTCCATTTATTACTTTCAAAATCTTGAATTAATAAGTGATCCAAAACTTGTCCGTCCTACATAAGGCTGAGGAGTTAATAAACTCGAAACGAGACCACAAGTATTCTGCCGTTCTTTGTCTTTTCAAACCCGTCTAGATGATCTCCCGTGTACTCCCCCTGGTCTTGAAAGAAAAGACTTCAAGTTCAAAGCTTGGCTTGGTGGATCTTCGGGAGGAAGTGGGCGAGGAAGTGTGCTTTAAACACTGTGCCTCTCTACAGTACTACATACCGTATTGAGCAGAGATGTCGAAATGATTGGCCCTGATCCTGTTTAATCACCCTTGCCAACCACCCGTCTTACACCTAAATCTGGAATCCCGGCGTACCGGACGACCCACCAACTATGTGCGGCCTACCATATGGTAGGTACCTATTGTTGCAGAAGTAATCCGTAGTTGGTAGACCTGTTTTGCTGTCTCCAGTGGTTGTCTCCAGTATTGTTGTTTTGCTGATCATCAGGCTCGTGGCTGGTAGATAGACGACATATGTCATCTTGTCATCTTTTCCTTTCTTACTCGCTTATCGGGTTTTAAGAAATAAAGACGAGGATAGGTTCTTAGATGCCATCTTTATTTTTCAATAGAGCAAATTAGGAAAGTTTCGAACCAACTCGAACAGAGACCAAAACTCCAAAAGGTCGAATTTACACTACATACACTACACTACTGAGACCCCAGCACAAATACCAGGGTTCCGCTCCCTGAGCCAGAAAAGGACCCTCTCCTCCCCGACGGTTCCCTGTGTCGTCCCACACCCCGAAACAATATCCCATTATGCTAAGGAGTACCGCCGTTCCAAGACCACCCGTTTAAGAAACAAACATGGATACTGAGGCGTACGCGGCAGTCGACGAACTGGGGAGAACAATAGGGTATCACGAACCAACCATGACCTTCGAACCTCTGGAGTACTCTTCCACCTCATTAAAACCACCTGGTCTTATTACACCGCTCGCCGATAGAAATAATACCTTGCTGTCGAATATACGGCACCAACGGCAGCAGTCGGCTCCGAACGTTTATTATTCCAACGCGGATTCGCCGTCTCCATCCCCTAAACCAGGTCACGTCAGGCATCAGTCTCAAGACATGCCACTTACCGGCGACGGGCGAGCCGGCCGGCGCCCGGATAACTCCTCAGGAAGATACGGCACCTGGCTGAGCGCTACACCGTCATCCTCATCCGCAGACGAGGCCGTCTCTCCAAACACCACACCCAAACCCAAACGCAGCATCGCAACATCCGACACCACACCAAAGAGCGCGACGCAATCCCGCTTCGGCTTCTTCGCGTCGCTCACCACGCGGCTATCCAGCCCAGCAGCGCAGACCCCCCAAGAAGTCGACGCCGAAATAATCAACATGGACATCGAAGCAGCGCTGTACCCGTCCGCGACAGACCGCGACACCTTCTCGCCCGCGGCCTACAAGAACCTGCAGACCAACGCGGCGGGGCTGCTGCGCAAGATGCAAGACGCGTACCGGCAGCGCGCAGCCACGATCCAGGAGATGCGCGCCGAGCGCGAGGCCCACGGCGAGGAGATGGCGGAGACGGAGCTGCGCATCCGCAGTTTCAAAAGCCAGCTCGAGAGCATGGCGGCGAAGGCGGTCGAGCAGGAGAAAGCTATGCAGCAGCTCGTTGCGGAATTACAGGCGGAAAGGGGGGCGCGGCGCGAGGCGGAGGACCGGGCTAGTCGCGGGAGGGCGTTGGTTGAGTCACCGCTGATTACGGAGGATCTCTGTGTGGATGATGTTGATGGCGACGGTGATGATGCGGACGACAAGCGCAAACGCTGGCGCAACAGCGACGGCACGGTGCGCTCGGATCTCAGCATCGATACGTCCGCGGGGACCAGCGTGACGGACGGCGAAAGCGTCGAGGCCGAAAGCATATTTAGTCGGAGCCGCAGCCCAACGGCCACGGTAACAACCACCATCACGGAAAACGAGGTTCCGCCCACGCCTCAGCACGAGCTCCTCGCGATCCGGTCTCCCCACACGCCCAATCTATCTCCCAAGCCCAAGCAGCAGCAGCAGTTGACCACGTTCCAGAAGCTGGTCAAGGGGATCTCGGGAGGAGGAGGAGGAGGAGGAGGAGGAGGGGAGATGGTGGATGGGTGTAGTAATTGCCAGGGGCGGGAGGCTAGTGTGGCGTGGGATACGGTTAGTCTTCTGCGCGACGAGAATAAGAGCTTGAAGCACCGTGTTGCGCAGCTCGAGGTTGTGGTTGAGGGCGCGTTGGATGTTGTTAATGGGATTGGGGTGTAGGGGAGTAGGTGTGCTTGCTATAAGGCTTTAGGGGAAGAGATTGACGAAATGGATGGGATGTCTACCTCGGTTTGTAGATGTGTGTACGTTTGGATTATGGAAGTGGAAGATAGGTGTGTAGGTTAGGCTGGGGATACGGCATGGTGGCATTACCTGGCATGGCTATGTCGGTTGGGAGTTTGCATACTTGCATGCATTTGGGTACATACCTACCTAGGCACATATCATGCTCGTGCTCATCAACATCAACATCAACATCGTTGAATTATAGTATGGTGGAAAGATAGATCGATTAGCATTTGCAGATATTAGGCATAACGCATCTAGGCTACTATGGCTTGGAGGAAACTTGGCATTTCTATTTTCTATGTAAATATTTAAAAAGTTAAATGAGATCTTCTCTATGTTCAATATCAGCATCGCATATATATATACCTTATATATATCCTGTAGCCAAAGTTCTCTCGGCAGGCGATACACTGGCTTAGCTACGATACTCTAGTCGTCCTATACACCATAGACATGTTTAAGCGTAAAAAGATATAGGCGTTTAAGTAGATAGTCTCGGCATGCCCACTGCAAATTAACGAATCTACCATCATCCAGCAGCTAAACACGTCATGATATGTATATTTATCAGAAAGTCCCTCGATCGTGACCAAGTACATTCATTCATTGAGAGCTACTCCCATCCGATCTTCGCCGCGGACGGGTCGGATGCGCATATATGTACAATGCCGTGTTCGAAACCTCCATAGCATTTAATTCCATCTAGTTACTTTTGCGTCCGCTCAATGATGGCCCTCCCCGTGTTCGTCCCCGTGGTGCTCGTCCTTAAGGAACAGCTTCTCGAAGCCGAGGTATGCGACGAATGCTACGGTGGCAATTCCTAGGCCGGGGAAGGCGTTCTTGAAGCGGTTCCAGCGCGTGAATTGGCCTGTGTATCGCCATGCTTCCCTGTGTGCGCGAAGACCTATGTCAGCAGACTATTCTGGGGATCTATCCTAGCTTGTCCTGGATTGTTGGTAGTTGGTAGTTGGGCCAGAGGGAAAGTGGGAAAAGGGGGACTGACGCTCGCTCCCAGGGATCGTATCTCGGCTGCCCGGCCGAGTGCGCAAACTTCCTGATGTCGAAGCCGGTGATGTTCGGCTTCTCGCCGTGCTGCGCTCGGAGTATCCTTTTTGCGGTAGGCTTAGTTAGCAATTGCTCATCTTATTCACCTTTAAAATACCGGGGATGGAGGGCTTACCTTGAGGGATACATTGTGAGTAAATGTGTGTATGTTGGTGTGGGAGGAAGGCTTGCAAGAGCTCTCGAAGTAAGACGACGAAAGCTCAATCACCGGTCGTCGTTCAGGTGGTTCCTTGCATTACCTAAGGTACTTTGAGAGGTACCTTCTTAATTGAATCCTTAGGGAAAGAGCAGGGTTCCCCAAGAGGGGTAACTTCATATCATTGCGCTTAGGCCACTTCTATTCCTTGTAATTCAATAACGCCTCGAGAGTACCTGCCTACTCCGCGCCGATCTACCTAACGGTTGCACCTGCCGCTTTTCAGTGACAGATTCACTTTAGGGTTTTCGGAAGGCTCGATCAAATCCACAACCTCATCCCATCTTTTTATTACATAGGTCTCTCCTCCGCCAGTGAACCTTAAACTATCTACTTACACCGGATAGTCAGCCACGAGGTCCTACTTAATTAATTTAGTAGTTGACAAACTGACACGAACAGAACACCAAGCTTCTGTACGCGTCAACAGCTACCTTTGGCCAAGGCTGTCCCGTGTCGTCAAAGCTCCCTAATGCCGACCGATTCTACTCCTCCCTTCATACCAACGACCAGAAAACGCAACTGAATACCTCCGCGACACACGAACATTCACCCAATGGCTCCCCCCTCAAGATTCGGGGGTGGCCCTCCAAACATGCCGCCTTATCAACACCAGTTCCCCTCTCACCCGTCCCAAGGCCATGCGACCGGCCACCAACCCCCCGCGCTGGGAAACTCTGCTTACCTAGGCAACGCACAGATTGGCCCTTTTGCGGCTAGCGGATTAGGACTCGGTGGCGGTATCAACGCTGCCGCCGGCTTTGGCGTCGGAGATCAAACAGGGTTTGCTAGTCACGCAGCCCGATCGGGCTTCCAGCACGCTGCGCAACTGCAACAACAACAGCAGCAGCAGCAGCAACACTCGCACCAAGCCCACGCTATGGGAGGTGACCGTCAGGCGCGATCTGGCGGCGCAGGTAGGCCCCGTGTACGCGAGGTCTGGAAACACAACTTCAACGAGGAGATGACCATCCTAATGGATCTAGTCGATGACTACCCTTACGTTGCTATGGTTCGTTCTTGCTAAGAGTGTTCACGGTGAAAGCATCGCACCTACTAACCTCTTAGAAATAGGACACCGAATTCCCCGGCATTGTGGGTCGCCCCATGGGTAACTTTCGAGGAAAGAGCGACTATCATTACCAATGCCTACGGGTTAATGTCGACTTGCTTAAGGTGATCCAGATAGGACTCAGCTTATTCAACGAGAAGGGCGAGACACCGGCCGACCGCGCTAATGCGTCGAATGAGGTTGGCCCGAATGCTCGAGGCCGAGGAAACCAGGCGCAAATGCCTCTCGCGTGGCAGTTCAACTTCAACTTCTCTCTCAAGGAGGACATGTACAACCAAACCTCCATCGAGTCCCTGCAGCAAGCTGGCATCGACTTCAACCAACTGGAACGTGACGGAATCGACCCGCAAAAGTTTGCCGCCCTCTTCATACCTTCCGGCTTCGTTTGCTTCGACAATGTCAAATGGATCTCGTTCCACGGTGGTTATGACTTCGGTTACCTTACCAAGCTTCTCTCCAACGAAAAGCTAGCCAACGATGAGAGCGAGTTCGACAAGATCATGAAGAAGTGGTTCCCGACAACCTATGATGTTAAGCACCTCATGAAGTACGCTGTGAAGCTCCATAGTACTGGTCATCTCACCCCCTCAGATCCCGCTACTGCCGAGATCATGCAGAAGTTTGAGCAGAAGTCAGGCTTGGAGAGCATTGCGGATGCGCTGAAGATTAAGAGAGTCGGCGCCGCTCATCAAGCTGGTTCGGACAGTCTCTTGACAGGAAGAGTCTTCTTCCAGCTACGCGAGAGAATCTACAACGGTGAGATTTCGGACGACCACATCGGCAAAGTCTGGGGTCTTGGATTCTCAGGAATGGAGATGCCTACGATGGCACAGAACCAGACTAACAATGCAGGCAATGCTTCGCCTGGCAACGGTAACGGTAACGGTAATGGGAACGTTAACGGTGGTCCTACCACACCTAGCACGGTGAGCGCTGGACTCGCTAGCACGCCGGCTGCGCAGGCGCACAACGCGAATGGAATAGGAATGGGACCTATGACCCCAGGTGGCGGAGGAGGTGTCTTTGGAGCCTTCAACTTTCCGGGGAATCCTAGATAGAATCCGAATTTCGGAAATTGCTTTGGTATGCCGATAGAATTAGATTACGCCTTACCCGCTCCCCTTGGTCTTTTACCTAACTATAACTCCCCTGTCTCTATTCCGCCATTCTTCCCGCAATTAATTCCTCATCCTTGGAGCTTCCCGGTCCCTGGGCCACTTTTGCCCCCCGGATCATGGTCGGCGATCCAACAGCAGTCGGCGACCCAACAGCAGTCGGCGACTCAACAACAATCGGCGACTCAAACACGATCGGCGACTCAAACACGATCGGCGATGGGACCACATCTACCTATTGGACCGATGATGCCATTTGGACCGATGATGCATCTACCGAATTATCCATTCCCGGTACCTTTTGCTATGCTACCACAGCCTCCTATGCCACAACCTTTGCTGGCCCAAGGACATGTGCGTGGACGTGGAGGTGGCGGTTATTCTCGACGTCATGCCACTAGGGCGGCTAACCAATACCGAACTGGATCTGTCCGAGGGCGTTCAAGTTCACGGTCAACTCGTTTGGTTCCCCAGCAGCCGTCAAATAGACCACCGACACCGGATGCCTCTGAAGCATCTTCCCCTAAGACTCGAACGGTTACGACTTCTCAAGCACCTATGATTCAAGAAGCTCCCAAGACACCACCGGCACAACGTGATCCTTCTCCTAACCCCTCTCCAACCTCAAGAGATCTGGAAGTGTTAGAGAAAGCTACAGGTTTTCTTACCATTTGAGTGCTGAGGGCACGTGCACGAATTTTCACGTCTCCACGAAAACAGTCTATAATTCAGTCAGTCCTTCAGTCAGTCCTTCGGACCGGAATAGTATTTGGGGCTTCGACAATTTACTGTTCCCGGTATGGCGACAAGCACCATTACTAGGCGGAAATGGCAACAAAATTTTCATATCCAATTCACAGTGGAATGGTGGCATTAATTTTTTCACGACGATCATGGCACCATGCGGTTCTCTTTCTTCTTTGCGTTTGCGCTCTAGTTTTCACGTCTTGCGATCATGAAATCACGGACGATTCTTTGTACCTTCTAATGACCAAGTGTGTCTGGTCAGCATTATCTCCTATCGGCAAGGTCGATTTTCCCCTAGCCGAAGATTTGAGCCGGAGGCGACTATCTGAAATAAGGAGCATGCGAATGGTTTTCTTTTCTTTTTCTCGCGAGGCGTTTGATCTCTGCATACGGATGTACTACTAGTGGTCGGGGGGAGGCAAATCTTTAGGGGTTAGCTTGGCTGGTCGGATACGGAATTGTTGCTGCCAATACATATACTCGGTGAGGATCACACGTTAGTTGATTCCGCCGAGGTTACCCTGTATTTTTCGCGGTCTTTTTTACATTTTGCTGCGAGTGATTTGAGTTGCCATCTAAAAATTGCTCTGCTGTCAGAGCTGTAGGGTATTATGTCGGGACTGGGACGTAGTAAGGGCCCCTTTTCTCAGACTGTTAACAAAGGGTTGGTATTTGAAATCTGTTCGTACATGCTATTGGACCCCTTTAAATCTACCTGAGGTGAGTTTCACATTTTAAAAAACCGTATACTAGTTCGTAATTGATATTTCATCTTACATTTAGGAAACCGTCAAATCGGGGCAAATCTAGTACAATAAATACATGTCATATCACGTATATATATATATCAACAATTTCATCAATACTCATAAAATAAAATTCCCAAGCTCCATATATGTATGAATTACGCCGTTTCCCCCCAAGTGACGATGCCGATGATAACAACGACGAGTACCTGCCACCGGGCACCGTCTCGTAGACCATAAAAAACCGCCTACGTATATAGGTAAATACGTAGAAGTAGAACCACCACCACTAGAACAAGCGCCTAGGTAAAAGTAGGGTAGGTGGTAAGAGGGTAGGGGGTAAGAATATACGGTCCGCCGCGTCATTAACATTATAACCATTCTATATCGTATCTTAAACGTCGTACGTAAAGCATTCCCTTTAGGTAGCCGGCTAGCCCAGCCAGCTAGCTAGCCAACTAACCAACTAGTAAACCCGCCAATCACGTAATATACACCTTCTTCAAGCGCTCGTTCCCAAACACCTCTCCGGTGCGCAGATCTTTCACCTGGCCCTCGAGCAACCCGGCCTTGCGGGCGTACTCGTCGAGGCGGGCTTTGCCGTAGGCGCGGCCGTTGGGCAGCAGGAGCAGATCGGGCTCGACGTGGCTCTTGCTATGGAAGGCGTAGGGCACGCTGCGGGCGAGCTCGTTTAGCTCGGTGCTGCAGATGGGGCAGACGCTGGAGGCTAGGGACAGAGAGGTCGAGTGGGAGGGGCCGGCGGCGGAGGAGGGGTGCGAGGAGTGGCAGGCTGGTGTCTTTAGGGCGGAGAGCCCGGAGCTCAGCGCGACGTGGAGGAGCGGGACGGACGGTAAGGAGAGTAGGGCGTTGTGCGTCGATGTGAATAGGTTGGCGAGCATTTCCCACCGGTCGGGAGAATACAGCTCCGCGTAGACGTTGGTTTCGGCGCTGGGACGCACGGCTAGCATGCCGCAGGCTTGCATGACTTCTTTCTTGTAGGTGTGCTGGTAGGGGAGCAGGAACTTGCGCGCGTAGGAGAGGATATCGGTGGGTTTGGTGGAGTGGTCCCGGACTAGCTCGATGTATTGCTGGAAGCGGAGCATGAATTCTAGGTTGCTCTGGCGGTGAGGGTTAGTAGTTGGATAGAATAAGATTGATGGATTATATTATCTGAGGAATGAGTGGTAATAGTTAGGATAGTATAGGCAACTCACGTCCATCTTTCGAAGTTCCTTCTTCGTGTCTCCCGCCGTACACCACGCCAACGCCTCCGTGACGCTCCGGTTCAGAATGCACTTCCGGATCCGGCTCATCTGCTCGAAAGTATCGAGGTCTACGAGCGGCTCGATGCCCTTCTCCTGAGCGAGTGCCCTCGCGCTCTGGTTATAGCCGTGACGCAAGAGGTAATCGACAAGAAGACGGTCGAGCCGGGTGCGGCTCCAGGCCTCGTACTTGACGTCGTCGACGCCGTACATGGCGTAAAGCTCGTTGAGGTGACGGACGCGGGCCTCTTCGTGGCGGTGTAGCCGCTGCTCCTCGTCAGCGAAGGCGGTTAGTTTCCGCTTGACGCCGCGCACCCGGGCGATCATCGTGTCGAGGTTCTTGAGCACATCGGCCTGCGAGGCGCCCCCGTTCACGCATGCCGTTGCCGTCTCCTTCAGCGTGTTCTTGATGTACGTGCCATCTTTCTCGACTTCGAAGTGTGCGGACCGGAAGTTCTTCCGTAGAAGCTCAATAGGAAGGCGGAGGAGAGGTTGGTCCTACGAAGTGGAAAAGGTTATGTGTTAGCTCGCGTGCTTGTTTTCTTGCCTGGTTGGTTAGTTGGTTGGTTGGTTGTTTCATGGGTTGACTCGGGGCGTAAGGACAGGACGAGCTATGATGTAACCCAATGAACGCCCGGCGTACGTAGCATCTCATCATCATCTTTTACCTAACATTACGAGATAAAAAAAAGAAGAGAAGGGGGGGTGTTACTCACGAGGAGAAGGTGATTCTCGTGATCTAACTTGGTTGCTGCAATGTCGCCCATCTTTCCAGATAAAATCTCGATTTTCGATGTAAGGGGTGGTGTGGTATCAGTATCAGATGTTATACTTTTTAGTCGGACAGTTTAAGCGAGGATTTGTATGTACGAAGTGAGAGCGAACTTCCTAGGAGGTGGAGCAGCTCCACAACGGGCCGACTTCCCCAGAGTTCAGAAGGGTTAGGCAGGGGGACATAACCCCTCCCAGCTCTCTTTCCTTCCCTTCTGGTGCTCGGTGGTTAAGTGACCCAAGCCTTGGGCTTGTCATTTATATATGTATTAGGTAAGTAAGGCTTTATTGACGCAACCTGTTACTTATATATTTTCTTACCAACGCTACTTTCGCACCCTGGTAAAAGTGATATTTCAATTCCTTGTTTTCTACTACATATGTATATACTAGTTAGCATGAAATTCTTACAGGTCACATCACAAGTACCGAGATATATATACACTTTGCTTTATAATTAGAATATATTTGTTTATATATGTATGTTGTTAACATTGCATCGTGGTGAACCATGGTCACCAGTAAGCGGCTCATCGTGTAGCAATGAAGAGACACGACCTCATTCTCTCCCCTTTTGCCTGCTTACTTCATACATGCCTCATTGATTCTATAAATACGTCCTGGTGATATGGATACCACGCATCATCTAAGCGCGTACCTACCTTGTAAATTATCCCCTGTTCCTGTTTATGCTAATATATTAATACCACATCGCTATGGCGCCTATCCTCCTCCGTGCTTCTGTGGAGGCGGATACTCCCGAGTGGTTTCCTTGATGCTCGCAAATTGCCTAGTGCGACTTATGCAGTCACACACATCCGCCGTTGGTCACAGGAACAAGTAGCAGTCGGCCGGGGACTCACGGGACTCGGAAGCTAACACCAAAATCATCATGATAGGGGTTGGTAGAACTGCATCTAACAGAGAAGGAGAAGGTAGGTCGAGCTTAAGGAGGTCACTTGACTTGTTGTGTCTGAGACTTTATACCGTCTCTTCGTTATAGTCTAGACCTGTCAGGTACTTAAGAGAGATAGGAGATACGCAGAACGAAATGATTTGCCGAGCCCCCGAAATCAGACTATCCATCTGCAGGTATTGTGCAGGTATTGGAGATCCATGGTATGTATCATACGAACGTTAGCAAGAAACACATTTCGCTCTAAGACAACTTAAAGTTGCCATTAAGTCGCTAAGGGGACTAATACCTCCAATACTTATTAAGGGTATTATAACTTGGCAATAGTAATTCCTGCGTCGTATCCAAGTTTGTTGAGTTTCAAATATATAGAGCTGAGTTGTGTAAACAGTTGGTTTCAATTACATATTTGCTCTCTAATAGATAGGTATGAATAAATACAAATACAAATACAAAAATAAAAATAAAAATAAAAAGAAGCACCAACCAACAAGGCTCGAGTACACTAGTACACTAGTTTAAGAACCTTGAGAGGCCGGGCGAGGGTGGGGGTGACAATTAAGAACTTTCAGGTCTTTTGTTAGTGCTCCGACAAGAGCAACAGAAAGAGGTCCCGGTCATCAAAGTGGCAGGAACGACGGGGTGGAAAGGAATTGAGAGGGACGCAATTGTGGGCCCGTGCTTGCGTCTGGGGGGGTCAATATCAGGTGGTCTAGTTATGCCACCTTCAATCTTCTTCTTTTCTTATTATCAATTTCTCTGTGAAGCGCAAGTTTTAACTTCTTCGATCGAAGAAATCTGTCTGCGCCGCGGCGAACCTTTTTTCAAGACTCGAAACCCCTTTCCTTTTTTTTTTTTTTTTTGCCTCGTTGAGGTTAACAGGTGTTGATTCGGCGGCTTTGCCTATCCACATATTCGAGGCTATTTCTTTCGAAAGCACGTGAAGTTAAGTCACTTGACGCTGGAAGATCCAAGCACTTGCGCCAGTTTCCAGCATAGCACTGCACGAGACCTGGCACATGATTTACGGTATGTCATTCATTTCCCGTTACTTTCGCATCGCATCGCCGCCATCGTCATCCTCGTCATCATTCCCCAAACGCGACGGACAATTTCTCTGCGCGCGCAACAATAGCCTCACCCTCATCAATGCGAAAATTTTCGCGTCCACCATCTATTCGCGACCTGTTCTACCGTATACCCAAATACGAAGAACGGTTTCGCTTGCAGATCCCGTCTATGAATAGCCCGACGCCTATCTCTATCGCGGCTTTCGAGGCCACCTCGTTCATCTACAATTGAGCCAGTTGTTCTAAGGAGGAGTCTCCAAGTTTCAGAAGCGTTATCTTCATCTGATCATCTGATCATCTCTTATCATCTACCTATGTCAAACCGACCTCGTAGACCTTCCAAGGCGGTATTTTCTATTTAGTCACTGATGTATCGAGGCACACCTTGCGCCCCCCGTCACTGTTTGTATCGGGCAATTTCATGAAAACGTGACAAGGCTCATTAAACTATTATATACAAAATGCACAAGTGATGGCAGCAATGCAATTTAGTCATTCATATTTCATACATATAGTACCACGCATATACTGACATCGGCAGACCTCTCGTGACAACCTTAAAGTCCGTCACGGACCTTACGTGTAGAGATCGCATAGGTGCTAGGGCCTACTGTAGGTGTCGTCAATCGACCACAACACTTCCTTCAGCTAAGCGACTATGGAGTCAAACGGTTACGCTCATACAGAGGCACTCCTCGAACCTCTAACTCATATCAATCGAGAGCATCTAGTTGCCATGGCGGACGCGGCTGTTGCGGACCAGAACGACTTTAACGCGTCGTCTCCGTCTAGTCCTAGTCAGAAGAGAAAGCGTGGCGCGCCAGACTCCTCTCCGGAATTGCGACGCGCTAAGCGTGTGCCTCCGAACATTTCAAGCACTCCTGACGCGGCATATGTTGAGAGTGCTGTCGAAGCTGCGCAGGCAGCCGCACAGGCAGCAACTAATGCAGATTTCACGGCTCTACAGCAGGCTACAGCGGATCACCATGACACTTCGGACCATGCCAACGCATCCAGCACCGCTGCTGCCGCTTTAGGAACCCTATACCCTACCATCCACGTCCCTCAGTCTACAGAAGAGACCTTTGCCGCGCAGGCTGCGGCAGAGGCAGAACATCACCAAGATTCGTCGTTTGGCCATAACGACATGCTTCATGCGGACGGCCTTCCCGACACGTCTACTAACGGCCTCGGACAGCCGCAGAATGGCGTCAGATCCACTCAGCCATCCTATGCTACCTCCTCGTCTGCCTCTAAACCGGCTGTAGGTTCAGAGGAGTGGCACAAGTTGCGAAAGGATAACCATAAAGAGGGTGAGTTACATTTCCCGCGCGATGCCAGAAGTATCATGCTAATTTCGGCTTCAGTTGAGCGCCGACGTCGCGAAACCATTAATGAGGGTATCAACGAGCTTGCTAAGATTGTTCCTGGGTGTGAGAAAAACAAGGGTTCAATCTTGCAACGCGCAGTCATGTTCATCACTCAGCTCAAAGAGAACGAAGCACAGAACTTAGAAAAGTGGACTTTAGAGAAGCTATTAACCGAGCAGGCAATCCAGGAGCTCAGTGCCTCAAACGATAAGCTCAAACAGGAGTGTGAGAGAGCTTACCGAGAGCTGGCCATGTGGAAACAAGTGGCACAGAACGCAGGACTTCAGCCCCCCCAGTCTAAGGATGAAGCTTCTTCATGATGTTAGCTTGGCTATGGGCAGACTCGATAGTCTTTATTACTTGGCGTTATCCCTTCTATACCCCCGACGACTTTTGTTCTATCGCGGCATTAATGCTTCTCCGATTGCTATATCAGCAATCGTGTGTGAGAATATTAGTGCTCCGCGCAGGATTGGCTATAGCCAGCACACAAGTCAGCACTGTTTATGTTTAAGTCGCCACATTCGCAATGTCAAGTAGTGCTAGATGTCGGGCTCGGGGATTTTGGTTGGCAACTGGTCGGAATGAGTCTTGAGGCATCGGCGTTGGTGGAAAACTTGTTTACTTCGCCCCTTGGTACGGATACCAACTAGAGGGTTTCCCCCAAGAATACAAGCCTTGGGCCAATTGTGAATTATATTTATTTGTGCGGGAATTCGAACACTGACGTCTTGGCAAGGTGTACCATGCATCTACATGTTGCATTGTGCATATGCGAGCTGCCACGGGTTCTTGCAAGTCGGAAGAAATCGGTCTTTAAGACCTTGACGATAATACAGGACTGGGGAACACAGGAGCTGGAGCAAGGGGGTGGGATCTCAGGAAAGACGTCCTCTAGCCTATGAATAAGAGGACCACAACGGATGCCTACTTTTAATGCATGTACATTCCGCAAGTTTCTTGTTGCTCAGCTCGAGATTAATACTACCAAGCTATCTCAAATACTGTAGATGCGTCCCCCCCAGGTTGCCAAGAGACGTACGGATAGAAAATCTGGGATCGTGCATCCCGGTCAAGGGAGACCTAGGCAGAAATCTAGGCAGAACAGACTAATCAAACGCACTTAGCAGACCACGGTGTGAGTGATTGGTGCCAGATGTACAAATATAATGCAAGACAGCTGCATAGGCTGCAGACGGTATGTAAGGCGCAGATTGCCATACGTTATGTATTACTTGGGGAATACATGCCCGACATGAGTAAGGCTTTACAGATAGATAGATGCCTCGGCAAGGTACGTCGCGAAGTGTTGCGTAAATACCTAGGTAATAGGTAATAGGTACTAACGTCAGCTTCCGGCTATTATGTAGATAAAGTCCGGAAAAGGAGTTTGTATGCATCCGGCGCTGCACTGCTCGCAACTTGAGAAATGAGATGTGTCAATATTTGTAGCGGAATGATCCTATTCAGAAGTCATAGTGACGTCCTTAAAAATCGATATATCCATATTAGTACGGAGTGTTTCTTTGGTCCCTCCCAAGTGTGCTACTTAATATATATCATCTATGTAAATAGTGATGCTTGTGATGACATGGAATGGTTACAGAAACGGACGCTAGGAAATGATTAGTCAAGTAATAGGTACATGTATGCAATAATTATCCCTTCTCATAATCCGTAAATCCCCTCGGATTTAAAGTCTTGGATATGACTGTGTTTGGTAACTTCGATAGGTTTAACTTTGATAGACTCGTGCATACTTATATGCATCTACGGTATGTATGTATTTAGCAGTCCTGGATATTTTCTACCGGCTGAAGCCTTAAATACCTCGCCTCGCTCTTGCGGACCTAGCCAATAAAGCCGTCATGCAACATTAACATTGGCATTAACATTGGCATTGCAATGGCTAAGCGGTTTAGCTTAGCTCCGAGAGCCGTCTCGGTTTTTCCTTTCCCTCGGCTTCTCCGTTTCCCATAGCAGCCCGTGAATGTTTCTTAGGTCTTCC